CGCCACAGAGTGTACATGGTGTTGTACTGCGGCACACTCGTGTTGAAGAGGTGTCGTGCTGGATATTTACCCCCCCCCCCCACCAGCGAGCAGCGGCCAGCAGGGCAGCAACAGCAAGTTGCCCTTCTTCCTCCATCTCCATCTCTACCACTAGCGGAGCACCACACCTGGTGGGTCCGCTACATTGGTATCGAAGCGGGAACAGTCCCCGCTCCCACCCACCACCCCGCACAGCTGTCCAACATTCTGCATAGCTGGAAATACAATGAAACCCGACAGCGGGTTTTTTCGGTTTTTTCGGTTTTTTCGGCCGTTTTTAAGCGAAAACGCATGGAAAAAGTGGCGCTTGCAGGAGGCGACAACGCAGGGAAAAAGTGGCGCATGCAGGAGGCGACACGTGGCGAAAAAGAGAGGCGCCACGACGAGCGCGTGCGCACAAGCGTCAAGGACAAGGCCGTCGCATGCGCGCGCGCCACGCTTCGTCCCGCCCCGCCCCGCCCCGCCCCGCTCCCAAATTTATATTATCAAGATCCGGGATCCAACTCCTTCTGCTGGGGTTTGAACCCAGGTGGCTGCTGGGCCATGCGCGTGTGTAAGCACCCTGCTAACACACTCGCCACAGAGTGTGGATGCTGCTGTCGTGCCACGTGGCAGCTACTGTGAACTGAGGACCCCCCTGCTCAAGGGGGCTGCTCGACAGTGGTGAGGGCCTGCTCACACAGCAGACCCTAGATCTGCACATCTGAAGAAGTGTTGCTGGGGGCTGATCAATCTCAGCCCCCTCTCTCCTCCAACTTGCTGTTGCAGCGAAGACCAAGACCCTCCTGGTCTTGGTGTACCTTGTGCCCTTGGAGACACCAAGGGCCAGGTATCACTCCCTTCTCCCCTCTCCCTCTACTAACCCACTCTCCCTACCTCTCCTCTCTCCTCTTATTCACCCCTTCTCTTTCCCCCACCTTCTACTGCATCTTTTCTCTCCTCCTTTTATCTTCCCCACCCCACCTTTCTCCCACCACCCATTCTTTTACTCTATTTTCTTTAGCTCTCCTTTTCTTTCCTTCTTTTCTCCTTCCTTCTTGATCTCTCTCCACCTTTCCCCAACCCTCCTCTCCCCCAACTACCACCACCTCATCCCCCCACCTATTTTCTTCTCTTCTCCGTGGGGGGTAGGGAAATGCTGCTGAAAATTTCAAAAAAATAAATATTGTTTCCCTTCACATCTCTTTACTTATTTAAAGTTATTTCTTTAATTTTTTATTTATTTATTGTTTTCTTATTTATTTTTATTTTCTCTCGAGATCTCGCTGTTTATTTTTTTTTCTCCGGTCTCCCCCCCCCTATGCTTGCTATTTTACTTTCTTGATTAGGTCACCGGTACCCTACTCTAGCCACTTAAACCTCGGTTAGGGTTTTCTTAGGGGTTTTGTAGGGTTTAGGGTTCCTCAAACCCCCCCTACTTCCCCGTCCTCTTCGGGCACCCTGGACCCGAACCAACCCTCCCCCTTTGACGGCGCCCGTGCTAGCCTTGCTAGCGTCGTTCGTCGCTTTCTACCGCGGACTTCCCCCTCCGCCCTCCGCTCACGCGGACCTCTTCTGGCCCCCTCCAGTCCGGTCCGTCATCTCCCTATGGCCGACGGTGCGTCACACGCCGCCGACACGGCGAGGACCACGGAATCAGGCTCCACTCCCGTGCCGGCGGACCAGGGCCATCAGCCCCAGGGGGATCTACACACCCGCCTCACCTCCCTCCTTGCGCCCATCCAGGCACAACTCGCGACCCTTGCGCCCATCCAGGCGCAACTCGCGACCCTCGCGCCCTTACAGGCGCAGGTGGCGACCCTTGCCGCCGGCATGCAGCAACTCCAGGACGCTGCGTGTCTGCCATCTCCTGGCTCCCAGTTCGGGTCCCCTGTCCTCCGACAGGGTAGCCAGGGCGGAGCTTCCTCCTCAGTTGCCCCTAACCCGACCATCTTGGTGACTGTCTATGCCCCAAACACGACGGCCGCCACAAGCCAGCCCCCCCCTCAGTCTACGGCCGCACCCGCCCAGATCCCGGTCACTACAGCCACGGTACAACAACCCGGTACCATGGTCTCAGCTTTTCCGGGTGCCCCGCTTCTCCCTCCCCTTCGAAYGACCGCAGCGCCACCTGGCTCTCCCCCCTCTGGGATGCCCCGCGCCGCTTGTGCGTCCACCCCCTCCACTCTTCCTCCTKYCACCCCTCGATCGACCTACGTTYGARGTCTCGCGGACGAGATTGCCCAGCTCCGGGCTGACCTCGCCCTCTTACGCCTTCAGCCACCCCCACCCTCACAGGTGGCCGCGCCTTCGGGCGCACCCCCTACCTCCTCTACCCTTCCTCCCATGCAGGCTCGCTTTCCGCGCCCTGCACTCTATACAACTCCTTCCTACCTTCTTCCTATTCTCGCGGTTGCTGCGACCTCTTCTACCGCAGCACCCTCGCAGCCTACCGCTATTGCCACCGCCGCTCCCCCATGCAGCCCGAGCGCACAGTCAGCTACGCCCCTTTCTCCAGGACCTGCGCCGACTTACTCAGCCGTGGCACAGGCCTCCGCTCCTCAATCCCCTCGCCGCCAAAACGGTGGCGCACTACTCATCCGCTTGTCGGACATTGCCTTGTATGACGGTACAGGCATACGAGTGTCTCGGTGGCTGCAGTCTGACACCCGCACACTCCAGCTCATGGGCGCCACACCCGAGACGTGGGTGGGTCACCTCTCCACGCGCTTGCGTGGCGGTCCTTTCGAGGCCTGGGAGGATTTTTATGCCTACTCCCTTCATGAGGGTCGGACTCCGACCTTCGTGGATTTCCAGGCGTTCCTCGAGGATCGCTTCGGAGCCCGGTACGACGTAGCTGATGCCTTCGAGCGTGTCGTCACTACATGCTGGTCCGGCTCTGGTGGCGCTGCCGGCCTGGATCGCCACATCCAAGTCTTTCAGGACACCCGCCTCGTTTGCGATGTGGCGTTCCTCCCCGAGGCTGCCCTTATCGATCGTTTCTTGGCCAGCCTTCCGCTCGAGTACCGCTCYGAGCTATGGCGGAACGAGTTCACATCGGCCCCACAGGCTTACGAGGCCGCCAGGGACCACCAGCGGATGCGAGCCCGTCTTCACCCCGCCTCCTCCTCCAAGCCCCAGCGCATGGGCTACGCCTCCTCCTCCTCTCACGGCATTTCCCAGCGTCGTTCCCCTTTCCGCGGTCGCCCCCGCCGTTCCACGCAGCAGGGCCGCCACTTCTCGCGCCCCTTCAGCGCGCTGGAGTATGGTGAGCAGGACGTTGTTGCCCCACTGTCACCTGAGGGCGACCACAGCGACGACCTCGATCTCTGCGAGGCCGTCCACTATCACTTGGAGGACTCTACCCTCCCTGCAGCTGAGCGCCTTCAGCTCGTGCACTCCGCCCTCTCTCGGGCACGCAGCCACCCCGGTCACACTGGCGCGTCGCCCCCCGAGGTCCCTTAGGAGGACCTCCCTCAGGGCATCGTCCCTCCTCGTGGTGTCCTTTCCGCTGAGGAGCGCGCAACTATTCTGGGCCGGCGTGGGTGTTTGCGCTGCTGCTTGGACGGTCATACCTCCTCGCGGTGCCCTTACACTACCGCCCTCGACCGCCACGCTGATCTTTCTCGTCAGCGTCGTGCTCAGTCCCCCCCCGGCGCCTCACGTCCTCGCGGCGCCTCCTAGCCACGGTGCAGTGTACACCTGCGCCCTCCTCAGTAGTCGGCTTCCCGACATCTCCGTCAAGGTTCGCCCCTCTCGCTACTGGAGCTGCGGTATCGCAGGACCCGACAAGGTGCGCCTCCGCAGACCACCATCTCCCCTCCTTCCCTGCCGTGATTACCGACGCGTCGAGCCATTCGCTCGGGCCGTTGCAGCGACCAGCTCGCTTCTCGCGAGGACATTGTGTCCTCTCTTCTGGACTTGAGCATGCTCCCGGCTCGTCAGGAGCGACTCACTCTCCATGTCGCAGCCCTGCGTTGCCTTCTTACCATCCTCTCTGACCCTGATCGCACCCTCCCGATCATCCCAGTACGATTGGGGACCTCCACGAGGGTGTTCTCAGCGCTGTGGGATTCCGGTTCTCAGGGCGACTTCATTCACCCCCGTGTGGTGAAAGAAGCCTGCTTACCTACGATCGGGTCTCCGTTTCCCATCTTTGTCACCCTAGGGGATGACAAGACCCAACGCTTCTTTGATCAGACGGTCACCGATCTCCCTTTCTTCCTCACCCTCGAGCCGACTGATCGTTCCCCGGCGTCTCGTCGCCACCGCTCCTCTGCACATTTGGATGTGATGGAGACGGGGTACGACTTCATTCTCGGCACTCCGTGGTCTCGTTGGTTCCGCAGCACCGAGGCCGATTAGGAGACCAACACTCGTGTTCTCAAAACGAAGTGTGGACAGACGTATCGCGTACCTTTCATAGGTACCACTGCGATACCACGCCCCGATCCTCCTCCCCCGAAGCCTTTAGTGCCCACACCATCTCCCTCTATCACTGTCACCTCGCCTTGGCAGTTCGCTCACTTCATCCGACAGGACGACGTCACCTTCTTTATGGTGAACGTGACGGATCTCTTACAGTATGATCCACCCTGTCCCGACGCCGAGCTCCTCCCTCTAGAGCCAGATCCTTCTTCTATCTCCATGGCTCCCATCTCTACTTCCGTCCCTCCGTCGCCTGTCGAGTCCACCCCGCCATCGCGCGCTGACGCTGACGCTGAGGAACTCGCACGATATACGGCTGACCTGGAGCCCGCAGTTCGTCACCTCATCCGAGAGTACCACGACGTTTTCCCATCGTCGTTCTCGTACGTCGGCATCCCACCGATGCGTGACGTCGAGCACTTCATTCAGCTTGTGCTTGACTATTGTGTTCACCACCAGGCATTCTACAGACTCTCGATCCCCGAGGCCACCGAACTCAAGCGTCAACTTGTGGAGCTCCGGAGACTGGGTTTCATTAAACCCAGCAACTCCCCGTGGGGTGCACCCGTCCCTTTTGCTCGCAAGCGGATGGAACTCTCTGTCTCTGCATCGACTATCGCGGTCTCAACCGCTACACGATTAAGAACAGCTACCCCATGCCTCGTTCCGATGAGCTGTTCGACCGCCTAGCAGGCAACCGCTTCTTTATGAAGATTGATCTTCCTAGCGGTTACCATCATATCCGCGTCGCTGCAGCTGACCAGCCGAAGACCGCGTTCCGATTGCGATTCGGCCACTACGAGTTCACGGTGATGCCATTCGGCCTCACTAATGCTCCCGCTACCTTTCAGAGGGCGATGAACGACATCTTCAGGGACATCCTGGAGCAGTACATTCTCATCTACCCCGACGATATCCTAGTCTACAGTCGTACCCTTGAGGAGCACCTCAGACATCTCCGCGACGTCCTTGACCGTTTGCGCAGACATGGCTTCTACGCCAAGCTGAGCAAGTGCCGTTTTGCCCAGCACAAAGTGGATTTCTTAGGACACTACGTGTCTGACCAGGGTCTCCACATGGACGACGCGAAAATCACTGCTATTGCGGAGTGGCCCGCTCCCAGATCCGCCAAGCAGCTTCGCAGCTTCCTAGGCCTGACCAGCTACTACAGTAACTTCATCCGGCGATACGCTAGGTATTCCTACGTCCTTACCTCCACCCTCCTCCGGAAGAACCCACCCTGGGCTTGGACACCCCTCCACGAGGACGCCTTCTGCGCCCTCAAGAAGGCGGTGACATGTGCACCAGTTCTTCACCTACCCGATTTTGACCGCCCTTTTATCCTTACCACCGATGCGTCAGACTTCGTTGTAGGAGCAGTGCTTTCTCAGGTCTTCCCCTCCTCTCCTGATTCCTCTCATCCTCGTATCCCTCGCTTCCCACCACCTACCCCTACCACTGCTTCCCCACTGACGCCTACTCGTTCAGCTAATGACGAGCCTTTTATTGACTATTCTCCTATTATCGCCGAGGACGGCATTGTCAAGTCTCGCTTTGGTGATTGTCCGATAGCCTTCTACTCTCGTCAGCTCCTGCCCGCCGAGATAAACTACACTGCTGATGAACGTGAGGTTCTCGCAGTAGTTTATATCGCTCGGCACTGGCGTCACTACCTGCACGGGGCACCATTCACGGTGCGCACGGACAACTCTGTTGTCCAGGCTTTTCAGACAAAACCGAAGCTCACTCCTCGACAGGTTCGCTGGTGGCGCGACCTATCGGAGTTTAGTTTCACCACTGACCACATTAAGAGTGAGACTAATCGGGTCGCAGATGCCCTATCCCGGCGCCCTGACCACGACCAGGAGCACATCCAGCTCTCTTCCTTCTCGGTCACCACCGTCCACCACTCGGTGATCGACGAGTTTCGCACTCAGTACCGCCACTGCCCCGACTATCGCGACATCCACGCGACCCTTCGGAGTGGCAAGACCGTCCCGAACTACTCTCTCGGGGACAACGGTCTTGTGTACTGGCACGGTTCACAGGGCACCAGAGAGCCCCGTATTTGCGTTCCCTCCACTGGACAACTACGAGTCCGAGCAGTAGCAGAGTTCCATGACCAGGCAGTTGCCGGTCATATGGGCTTCCACAAGACGTTGGCTCGTATGAGCCGCCTGTACGTCTGGCCGAAGCACAAGGACTTTCTGAAGGACTACGTCGCAGAGTGTCCCACCTGTCAGGATGTGAATAGTGCGAACCACCTGCCTTATGGTTTGCCCCAGCCTCTTCCTATCCCTGAGGGTTGTTGGCAGTCCATCTCGATGGACTTTATCGGTCCCCTTCGTCCTCCGACCCCTCACGGTCATGATGCTATCCTGGTCGTCGTCGACCGCTTCACGAAGCGTGCACGCTTTGTTCCGTGCCGCTATGCCATCAGTGCACGTGAGGTCGCTGACATCGTGTTTGACCGAGTCGTGCGTGACCACGGCTTACCTCTGAGCATCATATCGGACCGTGACCCACGCTTTACCAGCAGATTCTGGCGACGGCTCCACGAGGTGTACGGCACTCAGCTCCGCTTCTCCTCGTCTTACCATCCTCACACTGATGGTCAAACCGAGATCAAGAACAGGACTCTCAGAGATATTCTCCGAAAGATTGTTCGTGACGACCAGCAGTGGGATCTCCATCTTGCCCACGTGGAGATAGCCTACAACCACGCCGTCTTGCCAGCCACGGGGATGTCGCCTTACTATTGCGACCTCGGCTATCACCCGCGTGTTCCCGCGGGCTTCCTTCGACCGTCCCAGATGCACCCTGACACGTGTTTTTTCCACGCTAGATGATTGGGTGCACACATGACGTCGATTATGAAGACCGCACATGAACACATAGCCGCTTCCCAGACTCGCATGGCAGCATGTGCGAACCGATCGAGGATGGATCACCCATTCAAGGTCGGTGATGATGTGCTTATCGACGCCCGCCACTTACAGCTCGAAGCGGACACGCTTCGCAAGTTTCGACGTCGCTTCTTTGGCCCATGCTGCATCCTCTAGGCCGTCGGTTCTGATAAGGCATCTAGCCCGGTCAGCTTTCGTGTGAAGCTGCACGATGTCTACCACGTCTCGTTACTGCGTCCTTACCGCAGACCATCTGAGCGTTTCGCTGGACGACCATACGAGCGCCCTCCACCCCTCATGGTGGACGGTCACGAGGAGTTCCTCGTTTCAAACATCATTGGTCGCCGAGTCATCGACGACAACCCTTCCCACGTCGAGTATCTCGTACGTTGGAAGGGTTACCCTGATGAAGAGGCTACCTGGGAGCCCCTCGAGCACTTGCAGCACGCTCGCATGTTGGTGTGTGCCTATGACCGTGTTCGTCGTGCTGGGTTCACTACTTCTCCTCAGCCCACTGACCCTCCTCCTTCTCCCCCGGTTGAGGAGACCGGTGAAGTCGAGCCTGCTCCATCTGAGGCAGACCTTCAGCAGCAGCCGGATGCTTCTGAGCGTCCACAGCGCACTCGTCGTCGTCCTGCTCGATATGACGATTGACTCTGACTTACCTTCCCACGTCTTTGACTTCTCAGTACTCCATCCACTCTAGTTTTGCTACTTTAGCTCGTCGACGTTGCGGCTCTTCCTCGACGGCATTCCGGGCTTCTAATCGTGGACGTCATCGGCAGCTTCATGGACTTCGTCACGATCAGCTCTGCCTACTTTACACGTCGCCACTCTCTTACCACTCTACCCTGTACAGTACCCTGCTTGTGTCGCATGATGGTCTCCCTTTAGCCAGGTTCCTCTGAGTTGGGCTCTCCCTTGGTATACGCATAGGCATCAGGACCGTGCCCTGGCTTCCCATCTTACGGATCCAGCTCCGACTTCCCTCACTTTAGGAGTCATTTGCATGATTCCCTTACCCATCATCTTTCTACCCTTCGCCGGCCCTCACACCCTAGTTAGGCAGCCCCGCATGCTTCATCTAGGTGCGCCCAGTATACCAGGCTCCCTTATTCCCATGGTCGACCCTCCATAGCGGTCACCCCTTAGTCGAGCATTACCCGCCCTGATGGTCTATCTGTTAGCGTCATTGGTTCTGTTCACTCTCAGTTCCCTACCCTCATTGAGCCTGATGACATGTGTCTCCCTCTTATCTATGTGTGGATGCCCTTAGGAGTTTTCGACCCCTAGGCTGCATTCGCCACCCTTAGAGACCATCCCACCCTTTGGTTTGCGACACACTTCTCATGTGACATATGATTGACTTGTTGTTGCTTTGTTGCTCTCAGACTGAGGCTACTGCCTCTGACATTTCTAGGATTTAGTTGTTCTGCTTTTGCTGTTCTTAGGACTTATACACTGGTCAGTTGTTCTCAGACTGAGGCTACTGCCTCCAACATTCTAGGATCTTGTTGTCACTACTTTCTGCTTTCCTAGGACATGTATGCTAGTTAGTTGCTTTTGCTTTCCTAGGACATGTATGCTAGTTRGTTGTTTTTGCTTTTACTTAGGCTGTTAGCTGTGACATTGTTGTTTTGTGACATTTTATATCCTAGGTTGCATCGCATGTACTTAGCATGGAGCTTGCCCCGCATCCTAGACTACTCAGGTTTCTTTACTTTGGTAGAGTTCCGCTTTTTGGCGGAAGCGTGCTTGTATCTAGGCGATCCATCACAAGCCGAGGATCGTGTAGCGGACCTCCAGTGGGCCTGTGAGACCAGCCCCTTGGCTTGTTCTCACAGGCCTGTGTTTTATTCGGGGAAGTCCAGTCCAGGCCGGTACCTCTGTCGGTACCAGCCAGTCCAGTCCAGTCCTGTTAGTCCGCTGGGTTATACCCCAGCCTTTGTCTGTTTTTGAGCTCATTCTTCACTTGCACATTTTGGAGTACGTGCGTTGGAGTCTTGCGTGGGGAGCTGCGTTGTGCCATCTCGGTCCCCCCTTCTTCCTCCATCTCCATCTCTACCACTAGCGGAGCACCACACATGGTGGGTCCGCTACATACTAGCAGAAGATTCACTCTCCTTTTGCACAGGTCGACAAGTTGTGGAGCGAGGCCCAACATTCTACCTTTCTGGAACATATTGATGACCAGATACACAATATACACTCACATCCCGATGCATTCAGAACACTGGATCAACGGGAGTGTATCTGGTCGTCACAACGGTCCAGATAAAGGTGGAGTGTTGCGTAATGGAAACTCTCTCTCTCTCTCTTTTTTTTTTTTTTTTTTTTTTTTTTTTTTTTTTTTTTTTTTTTTTTTTTTCGTGTGGTGGCTGTTCCGGCCCACAAAGATTGTGTGCGTACATGTAGTGTACACAGGGCCGATACGTCGACGATGGTCACACGTTTTGTCCAGAATAGGGTGACGTGTTTCCCGGCAGACACACACACACACACACACACACACACACACAGAGAGAGAGAGAGAGAGAGAGAGAGAGAGAGAGAGAGAGAGAGAGAGAGAGAGAGAGAGAGTGTCACTGCGGAACTACTTCCCCAGCGGCGACCTCTGGGCTGTGGGTGCCAGCCCGGTTCCACAAGGACTGGGCTGTCCTGTGCCGTTTCCCATGGCCGGTACCCCATGTCCCCAGTTTCCTGACTGAAAAGGACCGGCCCACTACCTGGGAAGGAACCGGTCCAAAAAACGACAAAACTGCTCAATACTAATATGCCTCATGTCTAAAGCGCTGCCAGGTGTTACTCTTGCCTTTAGAAACGGGGATGCAACGGAAGTGCCGAGGAAGTGATTTTTTTGCCCATTCCAAACTACACCTGTCACATGAATGTACTTGCCCCTAAAAACATACTTACTACAATGTTCGTTCCATGTGCACTTGACAAAATACTCGAAACGCCCGCACTTGAAACAGCTGCAGGGTGCGTGGTTTGGAAAAACGTCTGGGCCTGCAGCGGCACTCGGGACAGTTGCGACCCAGCGGGTCCACGCCATTATTTGCAAATTGGAATATCAGCATCCCGTGTTTCGGTCGTGACACCCGACGGAGGGGCTGGGTTGTGCAGGCAGTGAGGCTGAATCCATGCATGCGAGCACAAGTACGCCATGCATTCATCTCTTCCACGAAGTGATGTCCATCACAGGGAAAACAACACCATTGGCATGTGGTGTGGCGGCAAGGTCCCCTGTGCGGTCATGCACGGGAGTGGCGAGGCGGGGACACGTAGGGAGCTGTCGGATAGGCCCATAGGGAGAAGGGTTTGCTGGTGAGTGCATTGACGGCCGTGTGCAAGGCACTGCAGGCATATGGAGGCCACGGCTGAGTTGCGGGCCTGATGGCGAACACCATCACTGCCGGTGTTCTCCTGCATGAAACTCCACGTTGGTGGAAAGAGAACGGGAGGAGCATCGGGGGACCTCTGCATATCAGATGACGCAACGTCTTCTACGACATCATCGCCAAGAAGTTGAGGATGAGCAAGGACGTCTTCTACGACATCATCACCACCTGCAACCCGTATCTTCAGCGGCAGCTGACTCATTACTGTCTGCCTCTTGAGCCGGACCACGTCGTAGCGTACGCACGTTACAGATGGGCTTATGGGGAAACCTTCGATAGCGGGACGTCCTCATTCAGGACTGGCAGATCCACTGGCATCGCCGCTATACGGGACGTGACCAACACTATCTTGTTAGTGTCCCTGAGAAGATAGCCATGCCTACCGGACAAAGGCAGTGACAAGTTACGCGTGAGTTCAGGGCGAAGGACTTTCCAAACTGCTTCGGGGCCATAGATTGCACACATGTCTTTGTGGACAAGTCCCTGAATGCGCCCTCCGAACACTACTATAATCGGAAGCAGCAGTATTCTGTGGTCGCACAAGTGGTCGTAGATCTGGCGCAAAGGGCGCTCGACATCTTCGCTGGTTATCCCAACAATGTGCACGATGCGAGGGTGTTGTCACTGTTGTGGAACTTGTCCTTGTTCAAGCAAGCAGAAGCTGGGATTTTATTCGAGGCCGAGCCGATCATTCTTCCAGGAGGCATGAGCACGAAGGGCTACCTTCTGGGTGACAACGGGTACTATCCGAAGACATGGATGGTTGTCCCTTCCAAAGGAGTGGAGCAACAATCAGACATTGCCATCTTCGATGGGAAGCAGAAGGCAATGAGGGGAGTGGTTGAGAGGGCATTCGGGAGGTTGAAGGGAATGTGGAGACTATCCGTTCGCCACACAAGACTGATATCGAAAACATGCCACATTAGTTTACCGTTGTATGCATCCTCCACAACTTGCTTATTGAGACAGGGATCGACTTCGACGAGAGGGTTCTTCTGGAGCGGGAACCGGACAATAATGAGCGGAAGGTGGACCTGGGAATGTATCCACCGGACCACCGGCGGCACCTGTTCGTCAAGGACAACCGGACCTTGCAGCTCTCGCCCTCAGGGATGGGCTCCGCGCACGTATAGCCATTCTACCTCGTTGAGAGAGAGAGAGAGAGAGAGAGAGAGAGAGAGAGAGAGAGAGAGAGAGAGAGAGAGAGAGAGAGAGAGAGAGAGAGAATCAATCCTTCCCGCGTCAGCAAAGCAATCAATGCTGCCTCCTCCTTCTTCCCCGCTGGACCCCGCATTACCGCGTTTATCCCTGGAACCTATCCGCAGATCCAATGCTAAAAAATACTGTGCTTTTTTTGGAAGATCAATTTCGTGAAAATAAAAAATGTCAATTTTAATGAAATGTCTGTTGTGTGCGCATCGCTGTCCTCGTCAGTGACATGTCCAACGCTGCCTCAGAGTTGGGGGTAATGCAATTGAAGTCAAAAAATTGGACTACTTCTTTCACTTTGATTAAAAGCAAACAAAATATATCACAAACTCAATGTCGCCATTCGTTTCTTTGTCCAGGGTACATGCGTGTATATTTCAGGGTGAGGTTCAT